GGGGCACGACGGTGCCTCGGGGCTGCTGGAGGGGGGCCTCGGGGCACGACGGTGCCTCGGGGGCTGCTGGAGGGGGGCCTCGGGGACCATGATCGATATAAAAGAAAAATCATATCCTGTCGGCCAGTGACAGAAAGCAGCACATGTGACATAAAGGAATCCTTGGATTCGAAAGAGCCAATAGATAAAAATGTAATATTTAAAGGAAGTCCTTTAAATAAAAGTGGATTGTAAATAGACCCTTCCGGATATCTATATAAGGAGTAGAGTTTCATATGTATAGGGGAGTCGAGTGTGGAGTGTTAGAGAGTCTTAGAGTAAGAAAAATATTTTATTTGTTAAAATTATGAGTGAGTAAGTAACTTCTCCCATTAGGGAAAAGTGTTTCTATTAATGTTGTATTAAGATATATACTTATAATATGTAAGTGAGATTATTATATATGAAATAAAAGTCAGTTTATATATCTATTTTCTTCAAACTTAATAAATAGTTCAAAGTGGAAGTTGCGATTTCCAGCCTGAAGGAGGAATAGTTCGAAAGTAGCCGAAGGTGTGAAGGCGAAAAATACTATTCATAGCCGGAAAGGAGAAAAATACTGCGGCATTGATAAAACTATTTATCAACAAGAGGAAGTAAGGTATAAAAAACTATCTTTTATTACATATTTTATATGTTATCTTGATTAAGCATTAAAAGAAATTACTTAGGTATCTGTAGGGATTATTAAAACATATTATGTTTTATATAATGCTTTGCATAATCATATCAAGCTAATTGAATATATAATCTTTCAGATGTGCATCTAACAAGTAAATGTTTAATTGAATCGCATTGTATTAGAGAAATTCACTAAACATGCACATATAACAAAGTGGATATTATAAACTTCAAATATTAGATCAACTATATGACATAATGATATTCGCTCTCATATTTTATCGGTTGACTAGTTTGACTAGTGGTTTAGGAATATTCATTGACCTGGTGTTTTAGGAGAATCTAGTCGTCTAGTTTGTATATGATGACTATCTCTAAGGTAGGGTAGGTTAGGCATAGGCGCTATCGCTTTTACTAATATAATAAAAAAGTTAAGTTTTTTCTATTGATCGAAGATGCAAGCTTATTTAAAACTTATAATCTAGAAAACATGAAAATAAGTTTTTATTGTATGCCACTATCATGGGCTCACTTTCGCGAAATGAATTCTAAGCGATCCAAATATAGCAACTTGTAGCAATGGTTATTGTCGAGGATACTTTCTCTTGCATGTATAAAACTATCATTAATTATAGCGCTTTTTTCATATGGGTTCTATGTGATTTGAATACAGAAACTTATATGGTATTATCATCATTGATTATCATTAATTGTAGCGTTTCCTATAAAATGCGAATATAATACTTACGTGCAATCATCATTGATAGAGACTGTTTCTTATAAATGAGATCTACGTGAGGCAAATCTAAATTAGTTACGCTCTAATTGATTTATTAGAAAATGATGTCACAAAAGTATACCTTTTAAAACTAAGTGGGTTGTTCATGTAATAAATTAATATTAGATGGGATCAAGAATGAAAATGTCAATTACCCTAAAAATCTTTGGCCCCTATTGCAAAATTGATCCTTCATAGTTTGTTCCGTCCATATCCTAAAAGAAGTCTCTAAAAAAGGCCACAAAATCCCCAAAACCCAATCAAATTTTCTTGAGTACAACAACAATGGCTGCCACTACAGCTGCTGCCATTTTCACCCTTCCAAAGCTCTGCAAATCCTCCATTAGCCCAAAATCCATATCCCTTTTTTCCCCAAAATCCACTCTTTCTTCTTCTTTCTCCATTTCATCTGTTCCATTCAAGGTACATCACTCAAAGCGCACCGTACGACCCCTTTCATACACCACTCCAAGAATCTCCGCCGTCATCTCCGTCGGAGACAAATTACCCAATTCCACACTTTCCTACTTCGATTCATCCGATGAACTCCAGACCCTTTCCGTCTCTGACCTCACATCTGGGAAAAAGGTTGTTCTTTTCGCCGTCCCAGGTGCATTTACACCAACATGTTCACAGAAACATCTTCCTGGTTTCGTGGAGAAGTCGAAGGAGCTAAAATCGAAAGGGGTTGATACAATTGCTTGTATTTCGGTTAATGATGCTTTTGTGATGAAAGCTTGGAAGGAGAATTTGAACATTAGTGATGAAGTTTTGCTGTTGAGTGATGGGAATTTGGAGTTTACAAAGGCAATTGGGTGTGAACTTGACCTTACTGATAAGCCTATTGGACTTGGTGTTAGGTCTAGAAGATATGCTATGCTTGTGGATGATGGGGTTGTGAAAGTGTTGAATTTGGAAGAAGGTGGAGCTTTTAATGTTAGCAGTGCAGAAGATATTCTCAAGGCTCTTTAGAGGTTTAGTTGTGTTTTTCGTTTCTTGTTTCTTTCTTTTGAGGGAATGTTGATGATAATCATGAGGCTAAAATGTTGTTTTCAAGTGTTTAATTACTAGTCTCTGTGATGAATAATACAGATGTCTTCAAAGATTATGAAGCTAATTAGTTAAAGTACTGTTTTTTTTTTGTTTCCTGTTCTATCTATTTGGAAATTATGACTATATGTGATTCTGTTTTTTGTCTTGAGCCGAGGGTGTGTTGGAAACAGCCTCTCGAGGTGAGGTAGAGGTAAGTCTACGTACACTCTACACTCGCCAAACTACATTCTGTGGGAATATGCCGGGTATGTTATTATTGTTGTTGACTATATGTGATCAATTTTTAAGCTGAATGAACTTGAGACTTGATAGAAATTTTGCCAAGACAAATGAAAGAGTAAAGCGCATTATCTTCATTCCACTTCCAATTAAATGTGTTACGCACAGTGACATTTGCCAATCCTGTTCCTGTTAGGAATCAATTTGTGTTGTTTGATTTGACATTTTGCTTAGAGAAATGACTTGTTGAAACTTGAAATTTGTTGAATTTGGAAGAAGGTGGAGCTTGCAACAGTGTAGAAGATATTCTCAAGGCTCTTTAGTGTTAGTGATGAATAATACAGGTGTCTTCAAAGATTATGAAGCTAATTAGTTAAAAGTATTGTTTTTTTGTTTCATGTTGCATAAATTTGGTTGGAGATTATGACTGTTTGTGATCAACTTTTAAGCTGAATGAACTTGGGAGTTGAGAGTTATTGAGAGAAATTTTGCTTTAGACAGATGACTGCTGTTTGATTTCGACATTTTGCACAAAGAAATGACTTGTTGAGACTTGAAATTATACATTGTAGAAATGTTTTATGCTTGTGGATGATGGGTTGTTCAAGTGTAGCTTTCGATGTTAGCAGTCTAGTGTTGCGAACAATCTTGATTTCAAGTGGTTGATTACTAGTCTTGTGATTGAATAACATAACAAAGACGTCTTCAATGGTTACAAAGTAATTAGTTAAAACACTAGTTTTTGTTTCCTGTTCTTTCTATATGGAGATGATGACTGTATCTGATCAGTCTATAAACCGAATGAACCTGGGAATTGGGAGTGATTGAGAGGAATGTTGCTAAGACAGATAAGTCCTGTTTGATTTCAACATTTTCAGAAATGACTCGTTGAAACTCGAAAATAATACATTGTTAAAATGTTTTATGCTTGTGGATGGTGGGGTTGTTGAGGTATTGAATTTGTAAGAAGGTGGAGCTTTCAAAGATATTCTCAAGGCCCTTTAGAGGTTTATTTGTCTTTTTTTCCCTGTTTCTTTCTTCTGAGGAAAATGTTTATGATAATCTTGAGGCTAACATCTTATATTTCTAGTATTTGCTTATTAGTCTTATGATGAGTAATATTGATGTCTTCAAAGATTATGAGGCTAATTAGTTATAAGCACTGGTTTTATTTGTTTTCTTGTTCTATCTATTTGGAGATTGTGATTGTTTCTCTGGTCCATTTACTTGGAAGTTTGCTAAGACAAATGAGTGCTGTTTGATTGTGATGCATGTAACTTGTGTTACTTTTCGGTGCAAATTCAGATTTAGTTCGGGCTCGAGAATAATGGATCTGCTCCTGTCCTTGAGGAGCTAGACTGATCATGTAATTTGTTGTTATTTGAGCTTTATGTGAATTTTTTTTTGACACTTTGAACAAAGTTAATTTGAGCTTACAATAACACTACGTGACTATCGGAGCTTTTGAGCATGGGATAAACTAGTAATATCGTGTTCGAAATTTTAATTGTATGCTTAAGTTTTTATAGGAAATTTGCACTGTTCAAAGTAAATCCAGTCTATTTTCATAATATTATAAAAGTAGCTCCTGACTCAACTGTTAACGAAAGATAAATTCATAATAATTTCTTAAAACTTTAAGAAAAAATTTGACATTTTTTTCGTAAAGTATTTAATATTACTACATCTAGGGTTTATGGTTCGGTGTTGATCGATTATTCGCTAAAATCAAAATCAAACTAATTTAGCCGGTTTTAAATTTTTAAAACCAAATCAATTTAGTTAGTTTTAAATTTTTAAGACTAAATCAAACAAAAAAATCGTCGGTTTGGTTCTTTCGTAAAAAATTTTTTGAGGACGTACGAATTTCGATAGATAGATACACCTAGTTCATGAACAATCCACATGAATGTCATCGTGGATTCAATGAAGTAATACTAGAGTTATTATTACACGAATAAAGTGATTTAATTACAGAGAAAATGTGACTATCTTATGTGTGATACATTAGATAAAGATCAAAGTAATGAATTTTGACTTAGAGTTGTAGTAGTTGAGCTAAAATTTAAGTGTTGAATTCGAGAAAATGATAAATTTAAAGACTTAGGTTGATTAAAACTTAATAAAATATGTATAATTTATTTATGAATATAAGATACAATAATTATAAAAAAGTTAATATATAATTTATCGATTTGGTTATACTTACGATTTTTCTAGTAAAATCAAAATCAGACCAAATAATATCAATTTTTAAAAATTTAAAATCAAATTAAATTAAATATCAATTTTACTCGATTTAATTTTTTAACCATAACCATGAATAGGCAACAACCCTAACTACATCCAAATAAAAGATCACGAGTATGCTTTAGACTTCATTTTTTATTTTATAAAAATTTTAAATTATCTATGAAAATAAATAATTTATATACTATGTAACGCTTCAAAGGGTACTTATTATTTGCCCCTCCTTTTTTTTTTTTTGGTCAAACCTCTAGAATATAAGGTGAAAATAAAAAACTAATGGAAAAAAAAATTATTTGTCAAATTTTTAGCGATAATTACAATTTTACCATTGTATCCCAAAAATCCACATTAGAAAACCCCTCTTCAACCGAATTCAGAAACCCTAGTTTTCACAATAAATTGAAATTGGGGCGGTGCTGGAGAAGAAGAAGAAGAAAGCTTGAGAATCATGGCGGAGCATTTGGCTTCTATATTCGGTACAGAGAAAGACAGGGTGAATTGCCCTTTCTACTTTAAGATCGGAGCGTGTCGGCATGGTGACCGCTGTTCCAGGCTTCACACAAAGCCTAGCATCAGTCCCACGTTGGTTCTCTCTAACATGTACCAGCGTCCTGATATGATCACCCCTGGTGTTGACCCTCAAGGCCAGCCCCTTGACCCTCGCCAGATCCAGCGTCACTTCGAGGTATATATTTATATATGTGTCTCTGTATGTGTTTATATGGATCTATCTATGTCGAATCTAGGTTTTTGAATATATGGTTTCTGAGCGTGAGTGGTAAGGTGGAAGCACAAAAACTAGCTTAGATACGAAGAAATTGAAGATTTAGTTACGATTAGAAATCATTCACTTAAAAATTTAATTGAAAGTTTTAAGAATAAGGGAAATGCTAGATTGTGTAAGCTGAATTGCTATTATTTGTGGATGAGTAGGTTGGAAGCACAGTAGCTAGCTCAGACACTGCTATCATTAAAAAAACATATACTTGTGTATGTGTGATATTAGTAGGTTGGAAGCCCTAAAGCTAGCTCAGACACCGTTATCATTACAAAAGAACATATACTTGTGTGTGTGGACTCACGAACGATACAGTTTTCCTTCTGCTTCGTATGTATATATGGATTGGATGGATACTTGTTTATTTTGTTTTTATGAAATGACTGTCCTAAGAAGTGCTATTATCAGTGTCTTTGGTTTAAACAAAGAGAAGTTGAAGTTTCAAACTAGTTGTCTTGAATAAATTGTTTTTGATTGTTGGCTAATTTCTAGGTTCTGTTCTGTTAGCCACTGGGAGGTTGGGGGAGACTTTTTTGTGTAACTATAGAAAGTTAACTCATAACTGTGTTGCATGTTGTGTAGTATGCACAAGTTTAGCGTTGTCGTTGAATGGGTTTTACGGATTTGTTAAAAGTGAACGTGGTGTTGAAACCTCCATGAGGTAGCGGTAAGGTCTTGCGTACACTCTACCCTCCCCAGGCCCAACTTGTGGGATTTCACGGGGAATGCTGTTGTTGTTGAACTTGGTTCTGAGAGCGCGGTACTGACCGAAGCATTTTCTGTTTCCATATGCTGCAAGAACTTAGAACAATGAAAAAGCAAAACAGTGTGTTGTGAAAACGTTAAGCCCTTTTCGTATGTTAGTGTGCTGATGGGGTTTTGGTGCTGTGATGTAATTGCATGTTAAAATAGAATTCATGTCAATTTTTATTCAAAAGACTGTCCCTCGTTTTTAGCTTCTGTTTTCTCGCTGTGGTGTCATCTTTGAGGAAATATGAGGTTTGTTTTATGTATAGGTTATTTTTGTTCAAGTTCGTAATGGGTAATGTAAGGTGTGCTTACATCCTACCCACACTAGACCCCACTTGTGGGATTACACTTTGTTCATTGTTGTTGTAAGTTTCTAATAGGAATTCTGTCCGAGTAAAAGTAGGTTGATTTATTATCCTGTGTTTCCTCCTAATTTCGTGGGAATGAAATATGTGTGATCACCATTGAACATGCAGGACTTCTATGAAGATTTATTTGAAGAGCTTAGCAAGTATGGAGAGATTGAAAACCTCAACATCTGTGACAATTTAGCTGACCACATGGTATGTCCACTTCTCTATATGAACTTTGCCATAGTGATTTGCTCTCATCTGACCTGAGTGATATTGTGCCTCTTTCCACAGGTTGGTAATGTGTATGTCCAGTTCAGAGAGGAAGATCACGCTGCAAGTGCGCTTCAGAATCTTACAGGAAGATTTTATGCAGGTTAGTTCACTCATTTTGGTTGAATGATGTTTAGTTTTAGTTTTGATTGTGTTAGCAGTTAGTTTTGGTATGGGTTTTCTGGTCAACTTTGTTGGTTCTATAGAAATAACCCAAGGAGAACTCAGTGCTTATCTTAACAAGATCAGTATAGGTGGTTTTTGGTTATATTTATCTCAAGTATGGCGCAATTGACTCGTAGGTCTCTACAAGACAGATAGATATCTTTCAAGTTGTTGCTCCCTCATCTCCTTCAATTTCTGGAGATTATGTAGAGTATTATGCTTATGGTTGCACTTGTCTGTGTTTAAACCAAACATTATTTCAGTTTTTAGATCATATATATCCTAAATGGTGGAAAGAAATTTAGGTTTGGACTATGGAATAGTTTATTTTTGCAGGGAGCTTAGTTTATTTCAAAGGGAATGCTATTTTTTTTTGAGAATGGGAAGGAACAAATCAATTCAATTTTTTTGTTATGTATTATACTAATGTTTCTTTTTGTGCGATAAAGTCATTCTCTATAGCTGACGATCATGAAATTTGTATATTTTAGGACGCCCAATCATTGTTTTAGTTCACTCATTTTGGTTGAATGATGTTTAGTTTTAGTTTTGATTATGTTAGCAGTTAGTTTTGGTATGGGTTTTCTGGTCAACTTTGTTGGTTCTATAGAAATAACCCAAGGAGAACTCAGTGCGTATCTTAACAAGATCAGTATAGGTGGTTTTTGGTTATATTTATCTCAAGTATGGCGCAATTGACTCGTAGGTCTCTACAAGACAGAGAGATATCTTTCAAGTTGTTGCTCCCCTCATCTCCTTCAATTTCTGGAGATTATGTAGAGTATTATGCTTATGGTTGCACTTGTCTGTGTTTAAACCAAACATTATTTCAGTTTTTAGATCATATATATCCTAAATGGTGGAAAGAAATTTAGGTTTGGACTATGGAATAGTTTATTTTTGCAGGGAGCTTAGTTTATTTCAAAGGGGATGCTATTTTTTTTTTGAGAATGTGAAGGAACAAATCAATTCAATTTTTTTGTTATGTATTATACTAATGTTTCTTTTTGTGCGATAAAGTCATTCTCTATAGCTGACGATCATGAAATTTGTATATTTTAGGACGCCCAATCATTGTTGACTTCTCCCCAGTGACTGATTTTCGGGAAGCCACGTGTAGGCAGTATGAGGAAAATGTATGTAACCGAGGCGGCTATTGCAACTTCATGCATCTGAAAAAGATAAGCAGGTTTTCATCTGCCCATCCCTCCTTTTCCTCTCCCATCACACAGACATCACCAAAACTCTCTGCTTTCTTTCTAATCTTGGTATTTGGTGGCTGATGCAATTTTTTTTGGTTGAAGGGAGTTGAGGCGGCAATTATTTGGGAAGAGCAGTAGGCGAAGGCGCAGTCATAGTAGAAGCCGAAGTCCGCGTGGTAATCGCAATTATGAAGAGCAGCGCCCACAGGGAGGTCGTGGTTTTGGTAGAAGAGGAGGTGGAGGAGGTGGTGATCGCTACCATGATAGAGGTAGGAGGCCTAGAAGCAGAAGTCCTGGACGAAGGAGTGGACACAGCAGAAGTCCTGGGGGCAGGAGAAATAGAAGTCCAATTAGGGAAGGAAGTGAGGAGAGAAGAGCAAAGATTGAACAATGGAACAGAGAAAAGGAAGAGACAGGATCTGGGAGGAATCATGGCGGTGGGGCACGTAGGGAAGACAGGGAAGGCAGTGCTGAGAGGAGGGCAAAGATTGAGCAATGGAACAGGGAGAAAGAAGAGGCAGATTCTGCTAAATATGGTAATTTTGACGCTGACAATGGCAGGAATGATGGTGGTGATCACTATGGAGAACAGTTTGATGATGGTTACCCGAAGCAGCAGTAGGTAGAAAATGGAAGTGATGGCTGCTGCTATGGTAGTGTTGCTCTGGTTAGTGGCACTTCCATCATACTTATTGTTTCACCTGAATGTCTTTCAATCTTAGTGGCACATTGCAGAAGTATAGCTCACTGTCCATTTTCCACTGTGCAGGGTGGAGTACAGGTCCACTGTCCTATGATTTTGAAAAGTGTTACCCATCTTTTATCTTCTTTTTACCAAAATTTTTAAGTACAGGACTTTGTTTAACAGGGATCATAGTGAGGCCTACTTAGAAACACTGCCATTTTTCCCGTCTCTGATGCATCCGTTGCTTGCACAGTGAAGCTTGCAGTGCTCAATTTTTCTTGTTAATTTTTCCAATGTCCTTTTTCCTGTCTCATATTGACAACTATTTATTTCTTATATAGGGAACCAGCCAACGGTAATATAGCATCTGTTAATTTGTAGAACAGCTTTTTAACTTTAGGGCCTCTGATCAAATGATTTTTTTCTCTCGCTGGTTCGTTCTTCCTGAAAATGGAACATTTGATTAAAGTGATTGGGAGTAGAAACATAGCCCTTCCAAGATTTCTGCCCACCTTAGATTTGTTAGTTGTCTACAGTCTAGGGGCTTCTCTCTTCCTAGGCTAATTCATAGAGTTTGTCATTCTTATAAGATTGATGTTAATCCAAGGTTTTGCAGGTTAAAAGGTTCCTGCTTTGCAGTGGTCGTGCCTACCTTTACATAGCAGCTTACAATGGTCTTGTATACAGGTTTTCTCTGCTGCAGACGAGTCCATGGGCTTCTAACATGCTAGGGATGGCGAGAAGTGAAGGAACCAAGTCCATGGACCTATGAAGTTCTTTCCGTTTTGGAGTTTTATCATTTGTTAGGCATTACAGGTTTATATCCTCAAAGACAATAGTGCTGTGTATAACTGTACTGGTTGGTGATCTGTTGGGTTGAATTTCATTTCAGTACTTAATCGTGTTTTACTTTCAGTCGTTTGGAGGTTTCTGTTGAAACAAATTTGCTGAAGAGAGCAGGATTTTTATGTGGCAGTTGCTAGACTGCAGTATGAACTCCTTTTGCAGTTTCTTTCGTTACATTTATGTTGCCGTCTTTATCATGTAGTCGAAATGATCTCTGCATCTTCTCTTTCGTGTTGTGTGATTCCGATGTAATATTATGCATCGGTGTGAATATAGGCTTGTGGCTTCGTGACATGGAAGCTAAAATCATGAATGTTTTGACATTAGTGATTTTCTAGCCATTTTGAAGCATAATGGTGAGAGAAAAACCTTGGACTAGATGTCAAAACATTCATGATTTTTGAATCTTACTACTGTCAAAACATTCATGATTTTCTCTAAGTATACTACGACAGACATCCACCACAATTTCACAGGTGGAGTCTAAGGAGGATAAGATATATGAAGATCTTATCCCTACTTATATGAGGTAGAGAGATCATTTTCGATGAATCTTTGGCTTGAAAGGTAGTTATCTGATGTAAGATTGTACGAAAATAGACAACAAAGTAGTAAGATTCAAATTTCTCAATGTAATGATGTGATTTATTTAGACTCGTCCACCGCGAACTTGGATCATCACTCTCACTTTATTTGAGCTGAATTATATCCACCGAAATCATTCTCGAGTCACTTGAGAAATGAACATATATATCTAAAATAATTCAGACTTGAAATACAAACTATGAAAAAACTAATTACTACTTGTTAATAGAATCTGTAAATGCTTAGTATATTTCTCTTGTACTGAGGATTAATAATTAAATCAATTTAGTGGAGAATTGTTCTTTTCTCATTTGTCAGCATCATCACTAGAATCATAACTTAGGTAAAAGAATTGACATCTCAACTAACAACACTATTTTATTCTTAAATTCACAAGCACTCGATAGTCACAAGGCATGGAAAATAGGTTTCTGGGATTAGATCAGACTCGAGAAATAATGTATTTTTTATGACCACGAAGGAATTTTGATTTCTTTTAGAAAGAAATTGGGGAAGGAAAGGTTTACGTAATTGATACTTCAATTTGTATGGAGGCAGATACATTGTTTCTGATTAAATCATTGGCTCGAAAACGTGTAATCAAAACGTAATATAAAAAGTTTTGTTTTAAAAATGTGATCAATGAAATTCGATAAAGACCTAACATACATTTTGACAATTTAAGAGAGAAGAATTAGTTCGTATTTTCCTGAATTAGGAGTTATCTAATTTCTATTATCTTGCTATAACTTAATCTTTACTCAAATCGATAATAATTGAGAGCAATTCTTAATTAAAAGAAAGGAAAAACATAAAGATGATTCTGATTTTTTGTTCTCTTAACAAAACCTATTTGCTTTGAAAATATTCTTTTGTTGGATAGTTCATAATTTTCCATATAAATGTCATTAAGTAACAAAATTGAACTCATATTTTACTAGGACCACAAATTTTAGGATTACTTTTCTCAAACTCTTATATTAAAAATAATTTTTTTTAGCAAATAAAAAAGTTTTTTTAAATCATAATATCCTTAATATTATAAATAATTATATAAAATAGTACTAATCAAATTTAAAATTCGAAATTAAAGTTATATTGATTAAATGTATCTTTATTTTTTAAAATATATATATCAGATCAATATTAGTCGAGTAATATGAGTCCGACGAATGAATAATGGGGTCGGGTTTGGGGGGGAGGGGGGGGGGGTTAGGACCAAACAAAAGTGTGATGCAATGTTTGTTCAGAGGTAGCTTGGAATTTGTGGCAGAATAATTCCAATGTATTGAGCCTTAGACAAGACATTTACTGTTCTTTCTTGTCTACTCTCCTCGTATTTATCAATTTTTTTTAAAAAAAAATTATTCTAACGTAAAATTAACACTCGTAAAATCTCATTCTGATCAAATTTTGGTTATATTTTTGGCTAAAAAGATGTTTTCATAGTTATATGTATACTCTCCTCGTGTTATATTACTTGATCTTTGTTAATTTTGATTTTTTAAAATCAAAATATTAATATTGTTTTATTCTTTCTAGTCAATTTTAAATAAATATTGAGGTATAATATATTCTTTTAGAAATCGCGGAGCTACGTTACTACGAGGGTGTTCAATTGAATTCCTTTCGTCAAAAAATAATATTATATACATAAAAATATTTACTCTTTTAATGCTAAAATGAATAATTAAAAATAAATGACCAAATAAAACGAAACAGACAAAAATTCAAACACGAAAAGCTGTGGTACCGATAGTGACGCAACAGCACTGAAGACCTGGTCATGTAAAATTATTTATTTAAACATAGAAATTAGTGAAATGAGTAATAAGAAAAACATTATTTTTTAAAACAAAAGTTAAAAATATTGTCAGCATATGACTCTCATGAAAATAAAATCATATTTTAATTCAGAAAATATGATTTGTTCAAGACATGAATATGAAGTCAAGTTCAAAATTTATTGGGCTATTTCGTTTAATGGGCCCGCTACATTAGCTCAAGGTCCACAATGTGTTAAATATTATGGTACTGCAAATTAAAATAAAGATCGTTAAGATTATGTCACGTGCGTAAATGATGTAATAGGTTTAGTCAATATGAGATTAACTAAAGTCATTAAATGTCTAAAGTCATGACATAATTTAACTAATCAAATATGATTTATTAATTAGATAATTTAACTAAAGTCAACGAGGCTTTGATATAAAAATGGACACCGCTCTTTCCAATTTTATACATCCGTTTCGAAAATAGTAACAAATACAAGTATTTTGTTACAATATTTATACTAATTTATATATATGATTAATCTAGAAAATTGTTTACAAAATAATAGGTAGTTAATATTGATGGTGCAACATTTTGAAACTTTTTTTTTTCTTTTTATATACTAAAAACAAGTAACATAAAAATCTAATTTTGGTATAAAAACTAAGGTCGAATAGGGAGGGTCTTTTGGAAATAATTTTTCTATCTTTACGAGGTAGTAATAAGATTTGCGTATATTTTATCCCTTTCTGACTATTTTATGGGATTTCAATGAATATGTCATTGTTAATAGACACAATTCATAATATTTGTAATAAGTTTTATGAATTAATTAACCAAAAATAATAAATGAAGGTAATTATACTTTCTACCATCTCCTATTCTTGATAATATAAGGAACAAAAGAAATTAATAAGAAGGGCAATACGAAAGGAAATTGCTAATTATGATAACAATTTTATATAATATGCTCAACCCCAAAATTAGCAAAATATTTTTAAAAAAAGATTACGTATACTATTTCAGTGAACTCGATTTCTCATATTCGTTTTTTCACAAATAAGTTGTATGAAAACACATTTTTAAATTAAAGTGTTATTCATCATTAACGAAATAATAATATTCTTAACAAAATTACGTATCCTATTTGTTCTTTGCATAAAAAATATATTTTTCAATTGACGTTACATGCATTTTTTTTTGTCATTTGCATAAAATGCAGGAATAATTTGTTCTTTACGTCAAGTTTCAACAAGCTAAAAGTGATAACGTCTCTTTAAAATGTATATTTCTTTTTAATCGTGAAATTATTTAGCTAAGTCTTTATGAAAAAATTAAGCACATAATTATTCTAATATTAATAAAATCTAATTTCAAAATAATTAGTCAACGTAAATTGTATTACTTTAAAGTTTTCTTTAATAATTTTTTTTAAAAAAAATAATTAACTTTAAAAATTGATCAAACAAATTATAAGACAAAATATCGCTTTTTGATTGCGATAGTATCAAAAAGTTAATGCGACAGTTAGAACAACAGTAACGATAACAATGATTGTGTTGTCTTTTTCAACTGAAATTTGGAAAAATAAAATAAAAGTTGCACCAATAAAAAATTACTATTAATGCCTATCAAAATTACCTAGACAATCGGTTGCCTATTATTCTATGTCCTATCAATGGTCCACTATTGGCTTTTTCCAAGTATTTATTTTTTCCATATTATATTTGAATATATATCAAAGATTTAATTAATTTAAGTTCGTGTGATATAAGACAAATATAATTTTTTATTATAATAAAAATGACTATTAGCGACATTTAATTTTTAATTATCGCTAAAATATGTATTTTAGCAGCAATTGTCACTTTTGTATATGTCCCTAAAACCTTTAGCGACATTGATTTTAATGACACTTAACTAATATCGATAGAAACTTTAACGCTCTTTATTAATATCAATGTTTAGTACCGCTAAAAGTTGTTTTTATCATAGTGTTTTTTTAATCTAAGGTTAGAATTTAAAATCTTTACTAAAGAATGAGAAGAACTAGAGTAATCTCTACCTAGGGAATAACGAATGTTCAGGTCTGAAAAATGGATCAATTATTTAAACACTTGTATTAAGCTATATTATTATCAATAAAATATTCTAAATTTGATTTTTTTTTCCTCATTTGTTTATTAAATTGTTAAGTTAACTATATAAAAATATGTCATGTATGTTAACTATACATTATGCATAAATACGCCATAAAATACAATGCATTTTCGACTAGAGTTTGGTGAGAAATGACATATTTAATATGGACAGATAAATAAAAAATACACGTAAAAAAATTCTCAAATTTAAAATTGAAACTAATTAAGTTCGTTTAATTTGCAGAATTAATGATAATTGTGATAAGTTTAGTCCAACGTTTACCAATAAAAATAAATGATGATAATGATATTTTCCAGCAAATTCTTGATAGTAACAAAAGAATTTGATAAGAAGGGCAATACGCATGGAAATTACTGATATAATAACAATTTTATATATAATGTTTAATTCCAAAAATAGCAAGTATTTTAGGCGTATAGTCTTAGTCCTCATTGACTAATTTATTCATATTTCGTTCACTTTTATTAATCACATTTTACTTGTAAAATTTTATCTGATTAATATTTAAAACTAAAATAGATTAAGTTGTTGTTTTAAATTTATAATTTAGATATTTAAAAACTATATGAATATATTATGAGTTGCAATTATTCTCATGTTAAAATGAAAAAATAGAACATAAAGTATTGATCAAAAAGTTCATGTAGTTTGTT